TTTTTTTTTTTTTTTTATCAAGAGTTGAGTTTTATGTTCTTGTCTCTACTGAGATGCTGCCTTTTGTAGGGATGCTTGGCAGAAGAATGGGGATTACAAGTAAGGATCTCACAGTCCTGCATGTTCCAAAAACTAGGAGAAGAGAAAAAGTCCAATTATTTGCATTTGGGAAGAGGCTAGAATTCTTGATTCTGTGACCTTTAGCTTCACAGAGGAAATGAAAGACTTCTCTATAAAAGACAAGACATTTAGGTCTGGGGCTTGGGCTTAGCGGTAGTGCACTTGCCTGGCATGTATGAGGCACTGGGTTCAGTTCTCAGCACTGCATATAAATAAATAAAACAAAGGTCTAGCAACAACTAAAAAAAAAAAAAAAGATAAGACATTTTCCAGACATTTGTGGTGGTACATCTCTGTATTCACAGCTACTCAGGAGACAGAGACAGGAAGATTACATGTTCAGGACCAGGCTGGGCAACTTAACAAGACCCTGTCTCAATATTTAAAAAAATAGGAAGGCAGGCACGTAGGCTAGGATGTAGCTTGGTGGTAGAGTGAGGGAGGGAGAAAAGGAATGTAGCTTAGTGATAGGTTGCTTGCCTTGCATGTGCAAAGCCCTGGGTTCAATCTCCAGTACCTTAAAAAAAAGGTAAACATTTGCATTAGTCTGAATTCTTAAGATTAAGTTGTGTTAGTCTCATTGACATACACTTATGAACTGGAAGAGCTATTCATATGTGTGTGTATCTTATATATGATATATAATATTTATATATACTAATACATGTAAATATATATAAAATATAATGTTTATATATTCTATTATATATACATATATATAGCTATAAATTACCTTCTAAATCTTAGTATGAAAATGAGGACGTTTCTAGTACCTTGCATCAACTTCAAGGAGCACTGACATCATCTATCAGATTTATAAGCAAGATGACAAACGAATTTCACTTCTCTCTCTTTCCAGGATATGAATATATTTTTTATTAGAATATGCATACATTTTTATGCTGCAAATTATTTGGACATAGTTACTTTTATATACTCTCAGATTAAGTACACATTCCAAGTAATACTTGAGAAATCAAATCTATCTTTGTTTGGAAAACCAACATTTAAAAGCGTTTGATTTCTTCACAAGCATAGGTTGAAAGCCTCAAGGCAAAGGGTTTAGAAGGTCCTTTCCTAAAGGATTAATTCATAATTATTTCAGTCAATGCCACTAATCACAAAATATATCCCACTCAATAGTCCCAAGCAGCTAACTCTGTAACTATATACAGAGTTCTCTCCAAGGTTCATGTAATGGCAAGATGATGCTGGAAAACAAGGAAAAAATCCAACAGATTCTTGCAAGAGCCATAGATGATGTGTGATTATACAACAGTAGTTCTCTACAGATGGAGGGATGGGGTTTTTTAATATTTATTTTTAGTTGTAGGTGAACACAATATCTTTATTTTATTTTACTTTTATGTGGTGCTGAGGATCGAACCCAGTGCCTCACACATGATAGGTGAGCACTCTACCTCTGAGCCAGTACCCCAGCCCAAGGGATTTTTTTTTTTTTTAAGAGAGAGTTTTTCAATGTTTATTTTTTAGTTTTCAGCGGACACAACATCTTTGTTTGTGGTGCTAAGGATCGAACCCGGGCCGCACGCATGCCAGGCGAGCGCTACCGCTTGAGCCACATCCCCAACCCCCAAGGGATTTTTAAGAAAGCAAATTCAGTGTCTTTCTGTTTTGTCTTTTTGTGGTGGTTTTGCTACTGGGGATTGAATCCAGTACTCTATCACTGATCCACACATTCCTACCCTCTTTTTTTTAATATTTATTTTTTAGTTTTAGGTGAACACAGTATCTTTTTTTTTTTTTTTAATGTGGTGCTGAGGATCGAACCCAGTGCCTCACGTGTGCTAGGCAATCACTCTACCACTGAGCCACAACCCCAGCCCTTTTTAAAATTTAAGTAATATGAACTACAGAATGCAAAGTTTTCTAGTTGGAGGGGGCATGCAGTGAGAAAGCACAAGGGTTATGAGTAACAAAGGTTTTTAAAAACCTAAAAGTATAAATAATTAAGACTGATTTTTTTCATAAACTTACCAGAACTTAGTGATTTTTCTTTCAAAATTCATTTAGGAACAAAGTTCTTGATAGTGCCTTAAAAGTCACAAGTATGCCACTATGAATTATAGCAAGTCTACAAAGACATAAAATTGGGGGGGTTTGTAATTGTAAAACAAACTCACTGCAAAGTTAACCTGACACAAAAAAAGGTTTATAGTTTACATAACACTTTCTCACATTTTCTCATTTGTCACATATTTAATGATAGGCATAAATTGTGCTACGTGCTAATTAAGCTTAATTAGTAAGGTCTTGTGAATGACTATAAATAGAGGGACTGGTTAGCTGCGAAAGAAAATTTTCAGTTCTTTTTTTTAAAGAAAAAACCTTATTAGTTACCTAGTATATATAACAGAGTGAATTTAAATCATATTCCTCATTTTCCATCATACATGTTGATCTTCATGTATGTTAAGAAAGAAACATAACAACTGTGGTTGGGTGTGGTGACACATGCCTGTAATCCCAGCGACTCCAGAGGCTGAGGCAGGAAGATTGCAAGTTCAAGGTCAGCCTGGGCAAAAGGAAAAAAATAGAAAGGGCTGGGGAAATAGCTTAGTGGCAAAACACTCCTAGGTTCAATCCCCAGTACCAAAACAAAGAAAAAAGAAAAGAAGAAGAACAACAAGAAGAAAGAGGCTCCTCTAAGACCTTACTCATAGGCAGCTAAGAGTCCCTCATTCCAGGACTTTTGTTGTTCCAACTTTCAAATCCTACCAATGCCCTCTTATTCTCACATCTCTCTTACTAGCACTCATCTACTAACACCTGAAGGGGACTTACATATAACATTCATTCGCCAGCAAATGCTTATTGAGCATTATGTGCTAGAAACTGAGGGAGACTCTAGAAACATACATAGTGGTTGGCCAGGCAACCCTGGTCCTTACTTTCATGGAGCTCAAAGATTATGGAGGCAGGCACAACCTAGAGGTGAGCAGGAAGTTGGCAGACCCATTTGACCCTCCATTAAGCTATAACATAGCTATTATCAAATCTAAAGATATACATGAGTTTCCCTTTGCCTTTTTTTCCTCATTTGGTTCAACACTCAGGCAGAAAAACAGCTGTCATGGACTGGTCCCTCTACCCTCCAGTAAAGGATGTAGGAGAAAGTGCTTGAGGCTTATAGCCTGATATTTAATAGATGAGGGGGAGCTGTGTTTAGGCAGGGATTGGTAAAGTGACATATAAATGAAATCATACAGTATATGTTATTTTGCATCTAGCTTCTTTCACTTAATGATTTTATGTAGCATGTATTAGTACTTCATTCCTTTTTTTGTGGCTGAATAATCTTCTGTCATACAGATATACCACATTTTGTTTATCCATTTATCAGTGGATGGGTTTTGGGTTGTTTCTACCTTTTTGTCACTGAATAGTGCTGCAATGGACACTCATATAGGAGTTTTTGTGTAGACATGTTTTCATTTCTCTTGGGTATAAACCTAAGAATAGAAGTACAAAGTGATATGGCAAACCCTATGTTTGACTTTTTGAGTAACTGCCAGACTGTTTTCTAAAGTGGTTGAACCATTTTACATTGTCACCAGCAATGTATGAGGGATCCAATTTTTCCATGTCCTTGTTAACATTTGTGTTATACAGATATACATACATACATATATATATAAATATATACACACACATACACACATATGTACATACATGTATATATGTATATATGTGTGTATATATATATGTGTATAAATATGAATTTTTTTGTACTGAGGATTGAATCCAGGGACACTACCACTGAACTACAGTTTTTTAAGCTGTAGATTGAACCCAGTGCCTCACACATGCTAGGCAAGTGCTCTACCACTGAGTCACAACTCCCTCCTTATACTTTTAAATTTAATAAGCATTATAATTTTATGAACAAGCCATTGATTATATACAAACTATGTTTTGAGGCTTCCAGACTAAAAGTCTTGAGTTCATTAAGGAATTCATCATAGTAATAGCTATTGCTTTCATAATATTTAAGTGCCAGAAGCTGTTTGGGCATTCCACAAATATTAACTCATCTAATTCTCATAATAGTCCTATGAGGTAGAAACTGTTTCATAATACTCATTGTACAGATAAGAAAATGGAGGCAGAGGGAGGGTAAATAATTTGCCTGAAGCCGTAGGTTAAGTAGCACAGATAGTCTTCAAATTCTGGATTCTGTTGCTCTTAACTACTTGCTAGGACTGGGGATGTAGATCAGTTTGGCCTGCCTAGCACGTGCCAAACCCTGGGTTCATCCTCAGTACCACAAAAAGTGAAGCAAAATAAACAAACCACTTGCTAGACTACCAAAGGGTAATTACATCACTTCAAAGAATGCCTACCTTTCACTTTGAGATGTTTTCATGCCATCTGCACTGTAGACATTTGTCCTCTCCTTACTGACCTGGGAAACTAGAGCCATTCATCTAGGCATCTTCATTGACCCCCTGCCCTCCCAGTCTGGTGCCCACTAGGGTTCATAGGTTGGAGGTTTTAATGCTCTTTGAAGTGACTGAGAAATTGCCTACATCCCCCAGGTGGAATGGTTCTAAATTTCTGGTGTCAAATGAACACCCAGACAGCTCAGTGGGTTCAAAGCTGAGCAGTGGGTGGAGCCAGTAGAACAGAGCCCTGCAGTGGTGTCTAGTGTGAGAAGTCTGCTTCCCCAAGCAAGCTGAGCCATGAGCTGGACCTGCCCACGTTGCCAGCAACCTGTTTACTTTGGTGAGGCTGGTGAGGCTTGGGCTGAGGAGGGAAAGGATGGGGTGAATGTGAGCCACTGGGTTCCCTGGGAATGTGAGGGCTGGCCATGGTATGGTTCCAGATACCCTTAAACCTGTTATGTGTGATCCCCTTCCCTCTCCTCCCCTCTGAGAGCTGTGTGGGATGCATGATGCTGGGGCAGGGTGGAGCTGGACTCCCAGAGACACTCCATAGTCTCTAAGGAGCAGGGCAGGCTGGGGTTGGGGGGTTGGTGGCGTCTGGTGCTTGGCCTGGCTCTTTGCAGTTAGTTCCACCTTGTCCCCCACAGCTGAAAAAGTGAGCTCCCTGGGCAAGAATTGGCACCGCTTCTGCCTGAAATGTGAGCGCTGCCACACTGTTCTGTCTCCTGGTGGCCATGCAGAGGTGAGGCCAGGGCCAGGGCACACAGTTCTTTCACCCACCAACCCACTTAATCCCACCCCAGCCCCCACTTTCAGCCTGTTACCCTGCCAAAGTCTACTTCAACAGGCAACCTCAGGGCTACTCATCCGGGGCATCTCATACCAGCCAGGATTTGGGGAGCCTCAGTTGTGCCATGACTCCGTGGCTTTGAGGGGGTGGGTTATTGCCTGCTTTTGCCTCCCCCTGGACCACAATGGCAATTCTGGCCTGCCAGCCCAGCACCCACCCCTCTAAGACCCACCAGATCCGGCCAGTGGACAAACACACCTGGCAGCTTATCTTGCAGCAGGCCTGTGGGGCACGACCCCCTTGACCCTGAGTGACTCCTTCCCTCTGTGCCCAGCACAACGGGAGACCATACTGCCATAAACCATGCTATGGGGCTCTCTTTGGACCCAGAGGTAAGAGCCTAAAAGGGGCCAGGGAATTCCTTGTGGCTGGGAACCAAGCCCTGATCTTCCCTATTCCTCCTCTCTGCAGGGGTGAACATTGGTGGTGTAGGCTCCTATCTCTACAATCCTCCCACTCCCTCCCCTGCCAACATCACTTCCCTCCCCCCCAGCAGCTTCAGCCCCCCCAGGCCAAGGACTGGCCTCCTCCATGGCAAAAAAAGTAAGTGAGGCTGGGCTTCAGCTATTCCTGCTCTTCATCCTGACCCTCAGGATGCAGTAAAAGTTGAGTTTCAGGGGCAGTCTTCTACCCAGCCCTCTGCTTTACATTCCTACAACTCTGTCCTTGGAAAAATCTCTACCCATGCCCCTTTTTTGATATTCCCTCATGTCAGCTTCTGAGCTTAAGAAGTAAGTCGGGCAGATAGTATTAGCACTTTACATGTGAAGCAACTAAGGGATAGAGAGGACAAAGGACCTTGTGTAGTCACATAGCTATTGAGAGAGCCAAAGATGGCCTGGAACTCAGGCCTCTTTCCTAGGCCAGGACCATGGAAGAAAAGACCTACAAGTTGAGGGGTCATGAGGATAGAGTCATTTCCTCAGATACTTCAACTTCTCTCCTCTGGCCCCTGTTCCTTCCACCCACTCCATTGCATGGAGCAATAACACCATGCTCCCCAACACCTGACACTCCTGCCCTAGCCAATTCCTGTATCAGCTCAGGTTTCCTGAGGATTGAGTTGCTGACAAGGTTGGGCTGGTGGGCACCTGAGCCCTTGCAAGAATGACAAGGAATAATGAACACAGTGACATAGTAGTAGTCCCAGCAACTTGGGAAGCTGAGGCAGAAGGATTGCAAGTTCAAGGCCACTTTGTGAGACCCTGTCTCAAAAATTTAAAAAAGCCTAGGAATATACTAAAGTACCTCTGGATTCAATTCCCAGTGCAAAAAAAAAAAAGGAAGCAGCAGGTGTTCCCTAATGCAGTTAGAGATGGGGCAGAATGTGGGTCAGTTCAAGGAAGGAAGACTCACAGTGCCTGGGTGGGGGCTCTGGGGTGAGTATGGGTTTTAGAAAAGGACAATGGCATGTGCAGGCAGGTTCTGGTGGGCCCTGCTTAGGGTCTGGCCCAAACTACAGCCCTAGCTAGGGCCTCTTCCCATTAAAGGCCCACCCCACATGAAGACATTCACTGGGGAGACCTCACAGTGCCCCGGCTGTGGGGAACCAGTCTATTTTGGTAAGTGACAATGGAAAGTTGGGGGAGGAAAACACAGGATGGGCAGCAAGGGGGCAGGGAGGTGGTCCAAGGCAGGTGGGTCTCCCTGCCCTTCCCCTAGAATGGAAGAACTACCTCTTCTCCCCACTACCAGCTGAGAAGGTGATGTCTTTGGGCAGAAACTGGCACCGACCCTGTTTAAGGTGCCAGCGTTGCCGGAAGACCCTGACTGCTGGGAGTCATGCTGAGGTGAGTAGGACAGGAATGGGTGGTTTTGGGAGGAAGGAGGCTGGAGCTTGAAGAGAGCCAGGCTGAGAGGGTAATCCTTCTCTCTGTGTTCTAGCATGATGGCGTCCCATACTGCCACATCCCCTGCTACGGCTACCTGTTTGGTCCCAAAGGTGGGCAGCCCCACCCCAGACAGTAGGCCTAAGTATGGCATGTACATGGTCTGTGGGGATGTGTGGACAATGTCCCCTATGGTCAAACACACTCCAGACCCCTCCCAATTCCCTAAAGTCCTGAACCCAACACCCCCCATACCCAAGGCCGTTGGTGATAGGGCTCTCTCCCTCAGGTGTGAACATTGGCGATGTGGGCTGCTACATCTATGACCCAGTGGAGATAAAACCCAAATGAGGCGCTCACAAGAGAGGTCACCCTAACTCAGGCTTCCCACATCCCCTCCATGGTCCAATGGGAGCTACAGATTTCTCCAGTCCTGTGTGGTTGGGGGAAGGCGAGATCCTAAGGGCCTGGGCCTAGGCTCCATGGTAGGCCAGATAATCTATACCTTCTCTGCAAATTTTTCCCTTTTCCTTTCTTATCTGGTTAGGGAACACAGGCCACCCCACTTTGAATGGTGGTCTCCTGGCTTTCCTATCCCTTTCCCCAATAAATTCTGGAACTTCAAGGTCATCTTCAAACTTTTGTTTATTGAGTCTATGCCTCTGTGGCTTCTCCAATAAAATGTTGGCTCCTATGCCTTCAACCCTTCTTTGGGCATGAAGCCTAGATAATAGGTTTAGTGGAGAGTGCCTGGGATTGGGTAACATGCCCACCAGCCCCACTGGCACCAAAAGGTATCACAGGGCCGTCTCTTCTTTAGCACCATCTCTAGATAAAGCACCTCATTTCAATTTGAGCATGACAGCAGATCTTGTAAAGTCTGTTAAGAGGTTTCATTATCCATTTGGGAAATGATAAGACTGAGGCCCCGAGAAGGAAAGTTACATGCCCCTGGTCATACAGAAAATCAGTGGCAAACCTGATCAGAGCCCAGGACCAACTTAGTGGCTTTCCATCAGGGGTCTTCCCAAAGCTCCTCACTGCTGCCCCAACTCAAGAGGTACCTTTATTTACAGAATTCCCCCAGCCATTAGATGGGTGCCTAGAATCTCCAACAATCCACTGCATTCTGGAAAGTTGTCCTGTTGCTAGAAGCTGAATAGTCAAGACTGGATGAGCACAGGCAGAGGGGATCAGTGGCAACTTCATCCCTAGTGTTTGATGCCCCCAGCTCTGGTCACAAAAGCCTGCCCTTCTGTTTTCTCAGCCCCTGACTGTAGACCTTCTCTGGAGGGCTTGCCCCAATTCCACTCAGTTCTGGACCTGCATCTCTTCCTCCTGAAGACCGGGTTGGACACTGGGGAGGAAGGAGTCAGGAATAGTGATGGGGCTTAGTTCTGGAGCCTATCACTCCAGCCTGTCCCATCAGACTGGCCCAGGGCTCTCTCCATCTCCTGGAATACAAACACATGTACTCCCACAAGAGACTCTCACACATGCTTGTAGTGTGCACACATGTATAGACTCAACACTTTTATGCACATAAAGTGCATAGAGCATGCACCCTAAAACACATGTGCACACACTTATACATGCACCAAGTATACCTGTGCAAATGTATTCCCCTCTGAATCCTGAGCACCTGCATCCATTTGCATATGCTCACATATACACACCTCTTTCTCTCCACATCCTGGATGGTCTCTGGCAGCTGTGCTTGCCTCGTCTCTGGCAGCAGGAAGGTAGTGCAGGTAGCCAGCAGGGCAATGCCCCCATAAGCAAGCTTGGGCAATGACAGCCATACTCCATCCAGCAAAGCTGCCAGTGGGGCCAAAGAGCCCCCCAGTCGGCCCACCAGTGCAGTCAGCCCTATACCTGTTGGTCTGATCAGAGAGAGGATGAGGGAGGCAGGTTGTTCTCACACCTGCTGGGAAGCCATGCCTCACAAGGCTCCCCTCCTGAGTTAGCAAGCCCTGCTACCTTTCTAGACAGCTAAGAAAGCTAGGAGCTCCCACCCACCCGGGGGCCAGGAGCCCAGACCAGCACCCACCAGAGGATGGGGCCCCCATTTATACACGGTACCAATCAGGTACCACTAAAAGAAAAGTTATCAGAATGGGATAGACTAGTGTGGAAGAAAGAGGAAGGTCAGGTCAGCAGCTTGCACAGTCGCTGTGGTGATGTTAGAGCCGACTCAAGTCTAAGCCGGATGCTTGTAAGGCTCATTACCCCATCTGCCAATAGCTAGCTGAAAGGGGCCCTATAATTCTGTAAAGAGAATCCCCAAGGACAGTTCTGCCTCACCAGCCATGAATGAGATGGGATGGTAGATGGGGCTTCTTTGTGATGGATTTCTTCTGAGGCACCAAGAAGTTGACTTGGCTCATGGTCACAGTTAGAAAATGCCCCCCACCTCTTCCTAGATTTGGGTAAACAAAGCCCTGACCAGCCCTACATTCTAGGTGTGGTGTAAAGAATCCAGAGGCTGATGGACAGTGTGCAGAAGAGTGCAAGTTAAGGCGCGTGACTAACAAGTCCCGTCCCCAGATCTGCTGCCTGGGAACCCTGCTTCCGGGCTTCCCTCACCTGAGCACTGTAGGGTACAATTCTGAAGTGAACAGGTAGGCAGTTGTGAAGGCGGCTTCACTGAAACCTTTCCCTATCACCGCCAGGGCCGTGCTCCAGGAACTCGTCTCTGAAGGAAAGGGGGGGGGGGGGGGGGGGGAGGGGGGGGGGGGAGTGCCAAAAACTCCCCGGGAATGGGAAGCCCACCGGGCAGAGCCTAACTGGCGAAGAGTCGGAGCTCCGGGGGAGGGCGGGGCTTCGTGTCCAGGAGGCGGGATCTCAGGCAGGCAGCGTCTGCCGGACAGGCTTACCCGAGGACACCAGCAATCTGATGCCGAAGGTCAAGGCCGTGCCCAGCAGTGCTCCGGCCTGCGTGAGCCGGCGCCCCGCACGGCGCACCAGCAGATAGACCACCAGCTTGGAGGGCAGCTCCACCGCCCCGAACAGCAGCTGCGTCTGGTACACGTTCAGCCTCAGCCCCGACAAGTCCAGGCTCAAGCCATAATAGGAGAAGTTTACTGAAAACCTGAAAGGAGTTACAGTGCTTCCAAGGGCCCTTATTGCACCTTTGTCCTCATCTCAGGAAGACTTGATCTTTTAGAAGGATGATCGCCGGTGCCTGGGACCTTCCCCACCACCCATAATCCCCCAACACCGGAGGGTGCAGCATGTGCCAGTGGCCGAAAAGCCTTCACTCTAATCTTCACAGCAACCCTGAGGCATGGCAACTAACCGCAGCCTGTTTTACAAAAGGGAGCTGTCCAAGGTCACACAGGAGCTAGAACCTGAATTCAGATCCACGTGACCGCTGCTAACTTCATCTTTTGACCTACCCCAGCTTGACTGACCCTCGGCCCTCCACAGTTACACTCTTATCTGTCACTCTTCTCATACTCAGCACAGGCCTGGAGTCTGCCCCTCCCTCCACTAGCCCCGCCTCCACCAGCCCCAAGTCAGCCCCCTTACCACATCACCATGCAGCACAATGAGATGTGCCGGATCTGTGGCGTTCGGAATAGGTCTAGGTAGGAGGGTCTTGGGACCACCTGTTCCCCCGTGGACACTTTGTTCAGGGCCTGATGAGGGAAGACAGTGAAGTTGTGATAGAGTTGGTCTCAACTGGGCATGGTGGGTATGTGCTACTTTCTGCTCTTGCGCTCGCTCTCTCTCTCTCTCTCTCACTGTCTTTGTTTCTCCCCTCTCAGTGGTGGGGGTGGAGGTGCACATGGGAGCTGAGAAGGGGGGACCCCAAGTGAAAGATGTGACCCATCTGAGTCAGGTAGGACAGCCTAAAGAGTTTGGAAAGGGCTTTTCCTATCACATATGGTGGGCCCCCAGGGAGGGACACTTCACACAGCCCCTCTCATAAGTGTGCATGCTCACACACACTAACTTCACTCTCACCTCCTGGCTCAGGCTGTCCTCACCCACAGGCCGCCCATTGAGCCTGGCACAGTGGAGCAAATACCTTTGGGCCTCCTCCACTCGGCCCTGAGTCAGAAGCCAGCGTGCAGATTCAGGCACCCACCTAGGGGACAGACAGGAGGCTCGTTAGCCAGAAAGTTGGTACTGTGAGCCACATCTCCCTTTTGGGAATTTTAGAGCTGTCAACCTCTAGGATGTTCACATAGTCCCCTCTGTCTGGAATGTCATCTGCTTTTCAAGCCCTCCACAATTGATGAGGCCCAGTATAAAAGTCACCTCATGCTATTTACCCAGGCCTGGAGCTCCCCCAGCCTGGGTCTCTTCCTTACTCAACTGAAATGGTCTCACCTTCAAGACCTTAGCTCTCAGCACTAGCCACCCACTTGTCCCACAGGTGGCAGGAAAGCATAGGGTAAAGGAGAAAGACATACTGACATGAATGAAATACCCACCCTCCCCTCCAGTCTGAGCTCTCCCATGATGCCCAGCCCCATTCCCACTCCTTTAAGGGTCAGCCTCAACTTCTGCTTGACTCTGTCTTTGTCACTGTCTCTCCTTGCTCTTGTTTTCTCTCACTGTGTCTACCATCTGTTGCTTTGAATCTGTCTTTCAGTTCTGGGTTCTGTCAATCACTGGTTGGTTCTCTTGTCTCTAAATCTATGTTTCTCTCTGCCCTGTTCTGTTTTTCACTGTCCTGTGCCATCTTCTTTCTCTTGGTCTCTTTTTCTGTCTTTCTTTCAGTGTCTCTTATTGTCTCTTGGTCACTTACTGGTTTTCTTTTCCCTTCATCCTTCTGTCTCTCTGTCTTCAAATCTTAGTCTCTGATTAATTTCTGACTTTGGCTTCCTCTATCTTCTGCTCCCCAACTGCCTCTATTCCTCACCGGATGCTGAGGATGCCTATGATACAAGGCAAAGTAACAGCCATCAGGAGCCATCGCCAGTCCCTTATCAGGTACCCAGCCAAAGCCAGCAGCAACACGCCTCCTGTCCAGAAGGTGGAGCTCAGGATGCCGGCCACTTCACGGTGTTCCACATCCAGCCACTCCAGCTCTAGGCCCAAGGCCAGACCAGAGACAGGAAGACAATAAGCAAGGGCCGCCTGGTCTGACTCACTGACAACTTCCCTCCAGCCCTCTAGGCCCTGCCTTTCCCTTGAGTGCTTTACCAAGTGGCAACACAATAATGGTGAAACCAGCCAAGGTTGAGCCAGTGAGGGTGCGGGTGATGGCAAACATGACATAGTTGACTGAGACTGCAGATGTCAGGCCCAGCACTAGGGTACTCACATAGGCCACCAGCAGTAGACGGCGCCGTCCAAACCTGCAAAGGGGTTGTACAGGGTCAGCTACCTGTGAAGCTTCCAAGACATAGGTAGACTAGGCCCATACCCCCAGCTAGTGGAAGAGGGTTCCCCCCCAGCCTTCTCCTTCATTCACCCCACACCGCACTCCACCTGTCAGACAGGTATCCAAAGACCACAGCCCCCATCAGCACACCAATGAAGAACAAGGTGGATGCAACTCTGTTCAGGCCTTTCCGTTCACATACCAGATCCCACTGCAAAACAGGCAGACAAGGGTCTCATATGGGTCTAAGACCCTCTCCAGACTCTGGGGACTTCTGATAGATACCTCTATGCCAGAAAATACCCCCCTCCAACAATTCACTCCTCCTGTAGCCTCAGGGTCTTCTCATGGAGG